CCTATAGACTGGTTTGCCAGAAAGGGAGCTGTCCTTGTACACACTGAGTGGTAGCTGGCTATGTCCCAGTTCTCAGAATGATCAATACTAGCTGATGCAAGTTTGGGTTCCAACCCATGATGACACCATTGGAAGAACTGAGTGTCTCCAACCATAAACCCTGATGTCAGACTCCTACTGCAAGAGTGATGTCTCATGTAGCTGAAATTCTGAGCCTTGGGCAAAATCTTTTGCTTTCTGCTGCCCATGAATACTTTACTGAATGCAACTGGAGCTGAGTTTCTGTGACATCACAACAGAGAACCACATGGGAGAGGGTCTAGTGCTGTTGCTGAAAACATCATAGCTCAAGGCGCAGGCTCATCTGAGTCTTAGGCGCAGCCTTCTACAATGAATAATTAGGAAGCTAAATTTATGCTACTAATTTTCATATTTCCTAGTTTCCCCCAATGAGTTCTATTCTTGACAACCTAAGCATGTGTATATGTGTGAGTGAGTGCATGTGTGTGTGTGTGTGTGTGTGTAAAAATTCATCTTAGTACTCATCAATGTTAATCATACCTCAATGTAAGATATTCTTATCTGGTTTGTTTCCTTTTTTTAAAAAGACATTTATTTATTTGAAAGACAGCGTTATAGAGAGGCAGCAGGAAAGAGAGAGAGAGGAAGAGAGAGAGAGAGAGGTGAGATGTTCTATCCACTGGTTCCCCAAATGGCCATAAAGGCCAGACCTGTGCTGATCTGAAGCCAGGAGGCTGGAGCTTCTTCTAGGACTCCCACGAGAGTGCAGGGGTCCAAGACTTGGGCCATCTTCCATTGCTTTCCCAGGGCATAGCAGAGAACTGGATCGGAAGTGGAGTGGCTGGGACTCCAGGGACTCCAACCAGCGTCCATTTGGGATGCATGCACTGCAGGCAGTGGCTTTACCTGCTATGCCACAGCACCTGGCTGGTTTGTTTCCTTTTTAATGTAGATCAGGTACTGAAGGTTGAAGCACAGGAAAGCTTACTGATCTACTTTTTGAATTGTTTTTCTGTAGTTTCTCCCCATGTCTACTTCTTTGCACTTTCCTGCTTTTGTTGTTGTTGTTGCTGTTGGTCTGTCTAAATTCTCAAGTCCTAGTGAGAGTCTTGATTTCCTTCTCCCTCATTTCCTCAAAATGACAGCCCGCAGTGATCTCATCTGTTTCGTTTCTGCTGTGCACTGACTTCTCACCACTGCTATGTTCTTTAACAGCAGCCAGAGCTCAAGTGCCACCCTTTAATTCTAGGATCTACACATCATGACTCAGTTCCCCATAATGGCCTCTATCTGGTGATGTGCTGGTCAATGTTTAACAACCATATCAGGTGGAGGGGAGCTCTTACAAGCAGTACCTGCTGATTTCTGCAGTACGAATATTTCCACCATGATCAATTCCAAACTATCAAGGTGAAGTCACTGAAGGTGGATTTATGAAGAGGTGTGCAGTGAATGGCATACTCACTGTATAAATATAACTGTAGATAACCTTGAGAGCATAGATAACAAAAAGTTAAGAAATTTTAATCTCAATTTTTATTATCTTTATATCAAAAGTAATTGATCTACTTAAGTTATATAATTTAAATGTTAATAGTCACTATATATAATAAGGAGTCTGCAAGTTACTTAAACATTTGAGAGTCAGCTCTTGTTCTCCCCCAGTTGCTGTAGGTGTGCCCTCCTGTCTGCTAATATACCAGTGGTAGCTGGAGTGAAGTAGAATGTGAAAATCTGCTCCATATGCCACCCTCAAGTCCCACTACAAACTGGAGATGCACAGACGTGGGTGATGTTTGGATTCCATGCATAAATTTCAACACTGACCACTTGAGTGAAACTTGTTACAATATCCAACCCCCCTTTCTTTTTAAAAAATTGCATTAAAATATATTTTCTCCAATTCATATTAAAATGTATTATGATTCTCCTATGACTTTATTTTGTTTCCAAATCTTCTCTTCTCCTGTGTTTACTTGGCATGCCTTAAGAAAACAGAGAAAGATATACCAGAAGAGAATGGAACAGCTAGAATGCTAACTTTAAACCGTAACAGTAAACAAATATACTTACCCTTCTTTATAAACTTTCCCTGCAGCCTTTATGTATATTATCTTTAGCTGTCTTTGGGATTATCCAAATTAGTTTGTAGTCAGTGTAATCATTAGAAAGTTGACTTCTTTTTTAATTAGACTTATTTCATTACAATAATTAGTCTGCTGTGTACTCATTATGTGGAATTATCTTTCATTTTCTTCTAAACATTGCATTTGTTTCAAATGCCAGAAACTGTCTCAGGGCTCCTCCCACACTTAGCACTCATTAACTTTCTGTATTCAAATGTATCCTCTTTAGAACATTGAGGAGCCTATTCTTTTTTTTTTTTTTTTTTTGACAGGCAGAGTGGACAGTGAGAGAGAGAGACAGAGAGAAAGGTCTTCCTTTGCCGTTGGTTCACCCTCCAATGGCCGCTGCGGCCAGCGCACCGCGCTGATCCGATGGCAGGAGCCAGGAGCCAGGTGCTTTTCCTGGTCTCCCATGGGGTGCAGGGCCCAAGCACTTGGGCCATCCTCCACTGCACTCCCTGGCCACAGCAGAGAGCTGGCCTGGAAGAGGGGCAACCGGGACAGAATCCGGTGCCCCGACCGGGACTAGAACCCGGTGTGCCGGCGCCGCTAGGCGGAGGATTAGACTAGTGAGCCGCGGCGCCGGCTGAGGAGCCTATTTCTCTCTCTCTCTCTCTCTCTCTCTCAAGTAATCAATATTATTCAAGGCAGTTCCACCTTTTATTTTTGTTTATATGACAATTTACCTCAAATATTTCACATAAACAGTTTCTTGTGATTGGCACTAATAACAAATAGACTATACAAATCAGAAGATGTATATATTTATATTCTCAATTGTACAAAGTATTTTGATATTCACTAAGAAGTTTAAAAAGCAGTTTCTATGAAACTGCAATAAAATTTTATATCCATGATGAATATTTACATCTAATTTATACCTGATCAATTATATGGCTTATATCTGAGAAAGCCTAAGAAATTCATGGAAAATATGCAGTATATTTTAATTTAGTTTCCATGAACTTTTTGAAGTATCCTCTTATTGATATATAGTACTTACAAAATAAATGCTCTATATTGTGCATATAACAAATACTAGATATCCATAATATAAGAACTTAAAAATTTTGTGGAAAAATTGAATTGGGCATTTTGAGATGCCTAAGTAGTTCTTTTTAATAATATGCCTTTTTCCATGAACCTCTGAAAGTTCATTTATAAATAGTCATTAAATATTTTACCAAACAAGTTTGTCTTTTAATTTCATTTTCCACAAACTCTGTGAAGACTCCTTATGTTTCTGGTTGTTGTACACAATCTCGTTATATAATACACAAATATATACATATATACACATACATGTATATATATATTTCAAAAAACTAATGGAAAAATAAAATTAAAAGATATGTACATTCTCTATGACATTTTTGAAAACTCCCAGTATGTACCATCATTTTGGTATGAGTATATGGTAGTCATTAAGCCAGTTATTAACTGAATTGCCTGAATAGTGTCACTACTTGTCAGATGTTCCTCTTTATGCCATAGCACTTTCTCTTCCTGTAAGACAGGAATGATAATAACATCTTCCTGTTAAAGTCCAACCTTATACAACGATGGGAGGATTCTGGGGGAATAAAGTTTGGAAAAATAGTGTGTGAATTAGGTAGGCAATATCCATAAATTTGGTAAATCCAGTTGCTGTAGAATTTGTTGAATGTGACTGGATGTTTGTGTCCCCTACCTCTGTGAGTTCACATAAAATAATTTCAGGTGGGCCTAAGTATGTCATTGGTAGAATATCCTGATACATTTTAATTTCAAATAAACCATAAATGATATTTAGTATCTAAGCATTACATGAGACATACTTTTAAAAAATTCTGTTTAACAACGGAGTCACTGTGCACCTGCTCCCCATGCAGGATCTCTGTCCTTAATGTGTTTTACTATGAGGGTTAATGGTAAAACTACTAGTCGACAGTACTCTATATGTTGTGCAGTTGTGTGGGTACAGTCCGTTGAAATCTTTGCTTAGTATATACTAAGTTGATCTTCTGTATATAAAGATAATTGAAAATGAATCTTGATGAAGAGTGGGATGGGAGAGGGAGGGGGAGATGGGATGGCTGCGGGTGGGAGGGAGGTTATGGGGGAAAAAGCCACAACAATACAAAAGTTGCACTTTGTAAATTTACATTTATTAAATAAAAAACCCAAAATATTCTGTGTATCCAAAATTCATGCTTAGATGAGCATCATTGCATTTTTGTTTGCTAAATTTGGCAACACTAGCCTTGTGGACACTTTTGTTCAGGGGAGCCAGGGTTAGGAAACAGAATTGAGCATGGAGGAAGGAAAATCAAGAGTAGCCTGGAATCCACCAAAGCCTCTGAATCTGCCCCTCAGCACCTTCACCCACGATGAGATCACAGTAGCTGCCACTCACACATCACCTAATCTCACCCAGAGCTTTCCTGTGGCCAGACCTTAATGTGGAAACATGGAGGTAGGGGAATCCAAGAAATGCAGTTCTAGCCTGGTTCACTGACCAGTACGAGATGTCATATTGCACAGTAATGAGTCATACATGTACAGCTCTAGATCAGCACTTATGCATAATACACATTCAGAAAATATTACGCTTTACTGTAACTGTTTCTCCATTTTAGTAATTTTGCCAAATGGGACCTTAGACTCAGAAGAGGGTCAAGGGTTCAATGAAGAGTAGTTCAAGGTGCAAGGTGTAGCAAATAATTAAGCTGTCAACTAAGGAAATGAGTTTTTTTATTGGAACAAAAGACAACTTTGCCTTGAGATTATAAAAGAAGCTCTCTTGGGGAAGTAACCATTTTCTCCCAGACGCGACAGAGGCCTGAGGGCCGCTCAGGGCATGGGATCGTCGCAATGGAGGCTTGTGGTCATGCTGATGCTTTCGGTCCTGTTGTGATTGTGTTGTAATTATTGCTGTATACTTTCATGTTGGTTGTGCCTTTTACTCTCTTCAGTGAAGACAGAAATGTTTGAAAATGGGCTGTGAATAGATTGTGTGGCACTGTTTTGGCCACACTAGTCCAGGTACTGCGTTCTCCAGCAGCTGTGTAAGAGTCTTGATTTGGTATCTGTTTCCAAATTCCTGTTGCTTACCTACCTGATTGCCTGTGTGACTGCAGAACATTCAGCCTCCACTGCTCCTTTTCCTGGTCCAAAAAGCCTAATTTTGATTTTAGGGAAGTAACTTTTCTCTCATCAATGCAATCACTAATATTCCTTGGTCAAGGGGGTGACCGTACAGCCAAATTTTGGCTGACCAGATATGAGAGCCTTTGTAGATGAATGGCTATTTATTTTCTTTTTGTTTTTAGATTTTATTTATTTCATTTGAAAGGCAGAGCAACACAAGGGAGGGAGAAAGGGAGAAATAGAGAATATTTCATCCCCTGGTTCAACCCCAAATGGCCAGAACAGCCAATGCTGGGTCAGGCTGAAGCCAGGAGCCAGGAACTTCATCTGATCTCTCTTGTGGGTGACAGGGATTCAAGTACTTAGGCCATATTCCACTGACTTCCCAGGCATATTAGCAGGGAGCTGGATTGGAAGCACAGCAGCTGGAACTTGAATTGGTACTCTGATATAGAATGCCAGAATAGCAGGCAGTGGCTTAATCTGCTGTACCACAGGTGCCCATTCCATGAATAGCTATTTCAAACAACCTTCTGGGGCTGGGGCTGTGGTGTAGTAGGTTAAGCCTCCGTCTTCTGTGTCACCATCCCATTTGAGTCCTGGCTGTTCCACTTCCAATGCAGCTCCCTGCTAATGGCCTGGGAAAGCAGTGGAAGATGGGCCAAGTGCTTGAGCCCTTGCACCCTCAAGAAAGACACAGAGAAACTCCTGGTTCCTGGCTTTGGATGTACCTAATTCAGTCATTGTGGCCATTTGAGGAGTGAATCAGCAAATAGAACACCTCTCTCCCTCTCTCTCTCTCCCTCTCTATATTTGCATCTCTTCTTCTCAAATAAATAACTAAATCTTTAAAAAAGAAAATCTTCTATCCCATCATGTTCCTGGACAAGAATGTCTTCCAAGACTCAGAAAACAGTCATCTAAACCTTTGCTTGCTGCACACGTACAAAGTCTCTGGGGTACCATGGTAGAATTGTCCCAGTTAAGTCTTGAGTGATGTATCTTCTGGAGTGGAGCATTTGTCCTTGTTGCTCGTGGTACAATAACCTCCTTCCTAAATTTTGCAGATTCCCCTACTTGAAATCAATCCTCCCATCCCAGAATGGAAGCTAGAAGTGCTGGCTTGCTAAATTCTCACCTCTAATTCTCACCTCCTAATCTCCATTGCAGCTTGCATTGAGCATTTGCATAGAATCTGTCTGTTTGAGGTGCCCACTTTCAGGCTTTGAATCAGAGACTAGTTTGGACATGAACCTCAAATCGCATAGAATCTGCTGTGATTAGGGTGACATTAGTCCTGTGCAACAAAAATATGCAACGTCCACTGGCTGTAGTAGTAGTTTTTCCAGTGGCAGCTTCCATTACCTGTGAAGTAAGACACAGTGGATTTAGAATGATTTGCAATGTTTTTAAAAGTTTTAAAATTAATTTGAAAGGAAGGGAAAGAGAGAGAGAGAGAGAGAGAGAGAGAGAGAGAGAGAGTGTCAGGCTAGCTGGTTCACTACCAGAAGGCCCACAATAGCCAGGACTGGGTCAGGTTGAAGCCAGGATCCAGGAATTCAATCCAGGTCTCCTACATGAGTGGTAGAAACCTAACTACTTGATCCATCACCTGCAGCTTCCCAGAGTGTTCATTCACAGGAAGCAGGAATGGCAAATGGAGCTGAGACTTGAACCCAGGCATTTCATTGTGGGATAAAGGCATCCTATGGCACATTTAATCGCTATTCCAGTACCCAACCCTGTGGTGCTGCTTTCCAAAGCCTCACTGCCTACCTTGATACTGGATTCTCCAGGAGATTCAGCAGGCTATTCGATATACTCTAAGAAAATTCTCTTATCTTTTAAATAATTAAGTTTTTCTCGCAATACAAATAGGAACTTTAACTGATACACATTCTAAGACAAAAGTTCTACTACTTTCCTACTATATACTACTTTCCACTAACATTACTCAGATATCCATTCACAGATTTTCAAGTCATCTTTACATGATTTTATATTTGGATAAATTCTTCACATCTAAATAAACATATGTCTAATGATGAAATTTCAAGTTTTATGTTAGATAATGCGAGTGATTAAAACATGGCATGGATTCATTGGAAAAGTATGGGAATATATTACAGTAGAATAAAATAATCCAGAACCCTATAATAATCCTAGCTGAAAGTTTTTCCTTCTGTTTTTTCTATGCATATTTGCAAAGAAAATCTAAACATCTAAACAATTTGTTTCTTTCATCTTTTATGAGATGTCCTAGCCCATTTACCATTCTATTAAACAACCAAATAACCAAACTCATAAGTGAATAGTTTGCATATGGTGATTTTCTAGGGCCATTCTCAGTTTTTTATTGTTATTAATATAATATGTTTCATGTGAATTTCTTAGCATATAGTCCTAAAAGTGATATTATCAAGTAAAAGGATGCACTACTGCCCTGATACATGGTATATTAATTTGCTTTCCAAAGGGCCTATCATGGATGGGAGTACATACTTCACTGTGTGCTATCTAAAAGTACATGTGATGTCACTTTAAAAATTTGCTTAGTTAAAATGGTATTTCAAATTGGTAAACAAAAAAAGACTAAGAAGAAAAAATTTATACAATAAATGCAAAATGACTAATCATAGATGAAAACAATTCAACCTCACCAGAAATAAATAAATAAATAAAGCAAGCAAATAAATGAAATATTATTTTGATGTAAGAATTTCTAGAATAATTTATACTTCTTAACATATCTGCCTGGGAGGAAGTTTGATATTTTACAGATTAATTTAAAGCAGTGCATACCTACTGTGTCAGGTATGTTAGGTCCACATCTATGTGCTCTTTTTTTCTCTTCTTCCAATGGCCTTATTGTTAATGTCTTTCTGAATACAGTATTTCCTTTGTAGGTGGGACATGATTTTATGGCAAGTTTTATTTTTTCTTTCCGGTCATATTTGTCTTTGTTGGGAAATGATGTCTGATCCCATTGTCCTTGTCACTGACAGCCCAGCACTTTTCTTTTATTATTCCAAAATCTCTTCCTTTGTTTTCTCTTCATATTTGGACTAGCATTACCAATTTATCTTCTGCATGTTGAATTACTTCTTTCTTTTTTGTTCATTTTAAAGATTTGTTTTATTTATTTATTAAAACACAGATTACAGAGTGAGGGAGAGATACAGAGATCTTTCATCTGCTGGCTCACTCCGCAAATGGCCAGGGAAGGGCTCTGCTGAAGCCAGGAGCCCATAGCTTCATCTGGGTCTCTCAGATGGGTGAAGGGGCCCAAGGATTTGGGCCATTTTCTGCTGCTTTCCCAGGAGCATTAGCAGAGTTGGATTGGAAGCAGAGCAGCCAGGACTCCGCCCATATGGGATGCCAGCATTCCAGGGAGCAGCTTAACTTCCTATACCACAGCACCGGCCCAAGGATTACTTGTTTCTTAATGTGTTGACATTTTCTCACATCATACTTCTGAGGTTATCAAACTTCATATTTTTAAAAAGTCATTTAATTTTTAAAAGGCAAGAAACAAAGGGGTTCATGTATTTCTTAATTAAAAAATTAACAGATATATAAAAATTATGTATATTTATAGATACCATGTGATGTTTCAAAATGAGTATGCATCATGTAGTGTCCAATCAGGGTGAATATATCTACCTCCTCAAACATTTAATGTTTTTTGATTGTGACCAGAAAGCCAGAGAGGGATGTAGGGAGTGTGGAGTGGGGAATGGTTGATTAATGGGTACTAAAGGTTAGAAAGAGTAAGAAGCTCTGGGATTCTGTTGTTCAGCTAGGGTGACTATAAATAATGTTAATGTACAGTATATTTCTGTATAAAAAGAAAAAAATGAAGATAGGACTTTGGAAATTTTCACCATAAGAAATTTAAATGTTGTTCTTCAGCTCTCTAGGAGAGGGTCTAGAGTAGCAGGTATTTCAGGTCTAGTTTGGTCTTACTACCAATGTAAAGTGCTTCTGGAGTTTCTCCCAAATGCTTACTTATGTCCAAGTGTAGACCCTAGACTAGCAACATCACCATTCACTTCTTCTTTATGCAAAATTTTATGCCCTACTTCAGACTCACTGAATCAGAAACTGGACTTGGGGCTCAGCAATCTGTGTCTTAGCAAGTTCTCCAGGCATTTCTGGCACACCCTGAAGTCTAGAACCTCCCAATCCTTCTCAAAACTCCATGTGCAGAAGAATCATCTGGGGATTTTGTTAAAAATGTTTTTTTAGTAGCCCAATAGCTGAAAAATGAACTAATTTTTATATCTGTATATTCAGCTTTCTTTTACTCACATTTTATTCCCTAGCCTTTTTATTTTATTTTCCATCACTAGTGTTACTTGTTTGTCGCAATCTTTATCTTGTTAATCAACTTCCACTCTGATATTTTATGATATTTTCTATGATCTTAAAAAAAATCATGTGCCCGGTTCATGGACATATGGATGTCAGTGTGTAATTGCTACAAATACCAGTTAGATTAAGGTGTTCTATATTCTTCTTCTTCTTCTTTTTTTTTTTTTTTTTTGACAGGCAGAGTGGACAGTGAGAGAGAGAGAGAGAGAGAGAGAGGTCTTCCTTTTCCATTAGTTCACCCCCAATGGCCACCGCGGCTGGCATACTGCGGCCAGCGCACTGTGCTGATCCGATGGCAGGAGCCAGGTGCTTCTCCTGGTCTCCCATGGGGTGCAGGGCCCATGCACTTGGGCCATCCTCCACTGCACTCCCGGGCCACAGCAGAGGGCTGGCCTGGAAG